AATCTATGCCACGAAGAATTGAGGCAGTTCTGAAGGCAAAAGGGGGTCCAACCCGTTACTAGCGTGGTGTACCTAATAAAGTGGCCGGTGAGTGTAATTGGGATCACTTACTCACAACTTAGGCTCTGGAACCCAATTCTTGGAGCAGGGTAGGACTCTCTCCTACTCTGAAGTTACTATGAGAGAGAGTGGCATCTAGAGGGTGTGGAAAAACTCATAAGGCCCCAGCTGTATGCCTCGGTGTTGGAGTTCACCCTGATGAACGAGAGGGTTGCCTCTCTGTGGCTATGTGCTGCAGGAGGGAAGGTTCTGTTTGTGCTCATGCATCAAACATCAGTGCAGATTACATCCCTTTTTGGAGTCGGTGCCARCTGATTAGGGATTAAGGTGTACCTAGTATGAGGCCACCTTAGGCCAAACGTCAATGACTGATTTCGTAAATCATGTCATCTGACCTGCAGCCCTTTGTCTTGGACAATTAGGTGAAGAGAGGGGCTCTTCAACTCTTGCATGGGAGGAATTTGGTGAGGCCATGGAGAAGGGTTTTCAGTTGGCCTCGAGGAGGTTCTGGCAAACTAATCAGTGACTCAGAAAAGGAAACATTTCCTGTCCCAGTCTGTACTTGGTTTGGGTGTGGAACTGTTGACCCAGACTGAGGGTATCATTGGGTAGTGGAAGGAACACTTTGAGAATCTCCTGAATCCACCCTCCATGTCTACTTTTGAGGAGGCAGAGTCTGAAGACTCAGGAAATGATGAGTCCATTACTATGGCAGAAGTCACAGAGGTAGATAAAAAGCTCCTCTGTGGGAGGATGTTGTAGAGCTGTCATGGTTTAAATGTCTCTTTAACATCACATGGAGGACTGGGACAACCCCTGTGGAGGGGGAGACCTGGGTGATGGCTCCCATTTTTAAAATGGAGGACCAGAGAGTGTGTTTCAACTATCGTGGGATCACACTTCTTGCACTCCCTGAGTTTACTCCAGGGTGTTGGAAGGCAGGCTCTGATCAATCGCTGAACCTCAGATTCAAGAGGAGCAGTGTGGCTTCTGTCCTGGTCCTGGAACAGTGGACCAGATCCTTATTGTGGAGTTGCTAAGGGGGTCGTGGGAGTTTTTCTGTTTAGTCTAAATGTGTTTTGTGGATCTAGAGAAGGCTCATGACCGTGTTTCTCCAGGCATTCTGTGAGAGGTGCTGTGGGAGTATGGAGTGTCTGGGTTGTCATGAAGGGAAATCCAGTCCCTGTAGAACCAAAGAAGGAGCTGTGTCTGCATTCTTGGCACAAAGTCAAGCTTTGGAGGTCTTGGTTTCTCTCCTGGACCTGTTGCCTCTGTCACCCAACTATGGATAAGCAGCAGAAGATGGAGATGAAGATGATTTCTTCCACAAATTTTCAATCAGGCTGAGATCAGGACTTTTGGAAAGGCTGAAGGCCTGCTTATTACTGATCTGATTTTTAATTGCACTACACATACAGTTTTGTTTTAGGAAAACCTTTATATGTTATGATAACCTATTTTGTGTAGTTATCTATTTTTATGATTAAACTGTGATTTAGTTGAGGTGCAATCTGCTTTGAGTGGCTTATGTCACAATCAACTCAACGGACCTAAATGTTTCATTTGCGCTTTAGCACTCTTRCTAATTTTTATAATTCATAAGCAGATTTGTGATTTCTAAAATTAAAATGCAGTACTGCTAATAATAATCTACCAGTCATCATCATCTTAAACAGCAGAGTATGGCTGTCAATGAGTCACGACACACATGATCTATCCAACAGAACTCCTCCCAGATAAACACACTTATTGTGAAGGTATACATCCTTCCTGACTGTTGCTTTCGGTCACAGTTCTCATTTCCCACAATACTTTGTGTCTGCTTACGTAGCARGAAGGCAATAGCAAAAACWGTTAACGTTTGTAATCCATACCAAAAATTTTTATGTTTTGATTTATTTAACTTTACCGTTGGAGCTCCATTTTAAAAAAATAAAGTTTAAATGCTGGAGCTCAATACTTGACGTAATTGCTCGAAGGAACGGGGATAGAGACTCAGAATGATTTAAAGATGTTATGCTGATGAAGACTGACATCTAGTGGTCAACTGGAGCAACTACATGGAAAACTTTAAAAGCCAAGCTCTTATTTTGAAGGGAAGATAGTTTCCTGTACTCTGTGCTTTCGTTTCTGTCACAAATCAAATCTGTCATGTACCCAAAATGCATCGCTTCAGTTTTCAAATAAACAGTTTTAAAATTACTTTATTGATGCTTCTTTAATGAAAAATCTACAACAAACAAAAGAAAAAGACAAAGAAGCAGCCGAACTAGCAATCCTCAACAACTTTTTAATTTTTACACCAGGAACTAAAGGTCTGTTTYAGGAAATCATATCTCCAGCAATCGGTGCTTGTAGAATTAAGTTGTAAAAGAGTTCGTACACCACTAGATGGCAGYGTTGTGTATATATTATGCATGAATTTTTGTCAGCTAGTAAGTGTCAAATTGAATTTGCGCTTTAAAATTAGCTTCCGCTAGTTTTTCAATGGCATAAGTGGTTTTGAAGTTGCGTACCTAAATGTTTTCATAAGTGCTTTAGAAATTGCGGAGCTAATTTTTGGATTATTGCTGCCCACCACTGGTCAATACATGCCTTTACACCTGCAACACTTTACTATTGTTCTCATTTAGCAATCAGAATTTCTGTTACAGAACCCAGTAGGAAGTTCTGCCCCAGATCTGACATATTACCTGAAAGAGGGGCTGGGTTCAAGAAGAATGTGTTTATATGTGCTGTGATGCTTGGTTCTTGGCCAAAAACCATGACTGAATAAACAGTTGGTATTTAGGTACAGCTCTTGGTATTGTATGGCTTTGTTTCTAGCATTTAACATTCAAGTCAAATTCTCTATTTGTTTCCTGGTTCTCACTTGCACCAATGTAAAGAACACGTTCTCTTTCACGGCCATGCCAGAAACTTAAACTGTTTTATCAAACCAGAAACCAGTTCTGATGTAGTTTGAAAGCCTCACTTTAATTCCTCCAAACGAACCTTTTGCTGTTGTGTTCAATCAGCTCAACCTTTGTTTTGTCTGACCATCAAACTTTTCTTCAACATTTGGGTCTTTATCCAGATCTCAGTAAAGTGGTGACTTATGTTCTGACACAGTTGCTGATTTTGGAATCTGAAGTTGTTTTAAAATGACTCAAAAAGATTTTTAGAACTTGCATAACTCATTTTTATGTTTTTTCCTCATTATTCCGAGTGTTGGCAAAACTAATCATTTTTAACTAGCTTGAAGGGGAAAAAGGCACTTAATTCAAACATGCATACGAGTCCTGTTTTTAAAAGTCACTGAAGATGATGTATTATCCTCCAAATGTGACAGAAGAATGGTTGAATAAACCATTAAAAGCCACAAATGAAGATGACATTCATGCTCATGATGAGGAAAACACAACATTTTGATAAATGAAGCATGGTTTTGTCTCTTCAGGTGACTGCTGGCTCCTGGCAGCCATCGCTTCTTTGACTCTGAAGAAAGAAGCTCTGGCTCGGGTCGTCCCCCCTGATCAGGAGTTTGACCACAAATACGCTGGAATCTTTCACTTCCAGGTACAACATTGTACACACAACATACTACACACTACATTGTACATACTGGACGTAGTTTAATGGAGGATGACTTTTTAACAAAAACTTCTCTATAAGACCACTTTGTCTAAAACATTTGTAACTGCCATGAAACAGGACAATTTTCTATGATTCCTCTTTCCAAAACAATTCTATGAAAGTGTTGAGTTGTGTTGAGTTGTGGCAAAATCCACATTGGAAGACGGTCGATTCAGACAAGGTTTTTAATTTGTGCTATTTACGCTTGTGAATAATTATGGAAATTGCAGTTTAATTCAAAATAACTGACAGTGTACAAAACACAGTTTGCATGAACCACTACAAAATTTTACAGACTGAAGTTATTTTAAGAAGCAGCAGTCCACACTGTAAAAGATAACTTGTAAGATTTACGTGAGAAAATCCTGTAAACGATTTGCACCAACATTTGTTAAGTAAATTTAAATGCTACAAATTCATGTAATATTTACTCATCATTATCTAGTAAAAGTTATTAAGAATATAGTTAAAGATTTGTGAATAAATCAGGTAAATTTTACTTAATTTGATCAATTAAATCTTGTAACAAATATGTGATCAAATTAAGTAAAATTCACCTGATTTATTCAGAAATCTTTAACTATATTCTTAACTTTTACTAGATAATGATGAGTAAATATTACTTGAATTTGTAATATTTAAATTTTCTTAAACATTAGTGCAAATTGTTACGAGGATATTTCTAGTAAATCTTACAAGTTCATTATAACAGTGCACATGCATCAAGCACAATATTGTAGTATGACAGCTCACAGCTACAGAGAGAGGTGTAGCTCTTGTTGTAGTTCAAGACTTCACCACCAGGTGTCAGTTTTGAAGAACCTTTATTGGATTCTTCTTCATGAACAACACAGACAAAGTGAAACTCACAGGTCTTATTAATGACTAGGCCTACCACTCTCACTTATGATTACTTCTGCTGAACGCTTTAACACAAGTTAACAAATAATGAACACACAAATTAGAGTAATACAACAGACTAATTGCTGAAAGAACAATGTTAACCAATTCCCTAAAATGATTTAACAACAACAAACATGAATCCTACCCACAATCCTCCACTGCAGTCACATGACAAACAGCCAAACACAGCAGAATGCTACAATATGCATTCCCTGTTCCCTGACAACTAAATATCACCTACATTATGTCATCAAACTATTGCACACCAACAAATGTATTCAAGCAAAAGAAACCAGACAACTTATGTTTTATTTCCACCATGTCTTGTCCTCTCCTTGAAAAGTGAAGCAAGGGAATGAGGAGCAGCAGCCTTTGTGTGTGCATGCAGCCTCAGTTTTAGTCCAGAAGAGTAGAAGTTACTTCATATATTCATGTTTATGTGCTGTCCAGAAAAAACACTTACATATTACTGGTAAAATAATATTAGCTTTTACTTTTGTGTACAGTAATATTGATATATAATATAATGTGTATTGTTTATTTAGTAAATTCTAGCAGTTTAGACACTGGTTTTTGTAAAATTTAAAAGAATAATTAAATAAATGTTACAACACCCAAAAACCCTTTTTTCAGTGCACTTTAATCTTGTCTGCAGTCTGACAGTTAGCTCATCTGTCCAGTCAGAGTTAAACTCAATTTGAAATTTAAGATAGTTTTACCATAAACCAACTTGAAAATGTCTGATCTTTTTAAATAAAAGGTTAAAATGTTAAAGTGTGTGAATTAATGCAAGTTGTGCTGTAAAAGATTAAGTATCAGGATCTACTGGAAACATGATTTCTTCAGGTGTCACTAAAAATGAGACAAAGTGAGTTATTTACAAACATTATTGTTTTATAGGAGGACAGATTCTCTGCTCTCAGCCTCCTCTCAGAAAAGTGAACCTGTTTGAGTGTTTGTTGGAGCAATGTGTTGTGTTTGTTGTGTCAGTTCTGGCAGCACAACAAATGGCTGGACGTGGTGGTGGACGACAGACTGCCCACAGTCAGAAACCGTCTCATCATGCTTCACTCTGCCTCCAACAACGAGTTCTGGAGCGCTCTGATGGAGAAAGCCTACGCCAAGTAACCACACTCCCTTATCACTTCACCATTTATCACGTGCTAAATGAAATAATACAGCAACAATCAAATATTTGTTAGTTTGGTTTGTGTATTCGTCACTTTGTCATCGTTGTGTTCACTTTAGACTACACGGCAGCTATGAGTCCCTGAAAGGTGGCAGCACCATGGAGGCGATGGAGGACTTCACTGGAGGAGTAGGTGAAATGTATGAAACGAAGAGTGCTCCAAAGGACCTGTTCTTAATCATGAAGAAGGCTATGGACCGGGGTTCCATGATGGGATGCTCTATTGATGTAGGAATCTTTATTTCAACATAATGTCTCAAACTTCCAGCCCTCAAATAACAAACAAGCTGATTAACCCTGTGTGGTGATTTGATCTTTCTCCAGATCACCAGTTCTGCAGAATCTGAGGCAAGAACCAGCACAGGTCTGGTGAAGGGCCACGCATACTCCATCACAGGCCTGGAGGAGGTAAGACCTGAGAGCAGAAAACAAACTCTAATGTTGTTAAAAGTTCATCAGCCTTTTGCTGTCTGTCTACTATTATACAAAAGCAACCTCAAGTTGTCAACTCAGTAGTGWCTCAAAGATGTACTTTTTAACACCTTGGTTTTGCTTTTACAGGTGAGTTTCAGAGGTCAGAAAGTCAATCTGGTCCGAATCAGAAACCCCTGGGGTCAGGTGGAATGGAACGGGCCCTGGAGTGACGAGTAAGATCCAAAAACTTTCTATGGACCTTCACAGTACACACCAAACAATGACAGTAAATGCAGTTGTAAAAAGCTTTGTTAAGTGTGAGACTTTTCAGGATTGCTGAGAGTCAGGGTTAGACCTAACCCTACCAACCTGATTAGGATTGAGATTAGGTCTTGGTACTTTTCTCCAATTTTTAATATATGCAAACACAATTTCAAATGAACTTCTCCCAAAGCTTTACAGTCCTTCATCGCCCGAGAACACAGAGTGATTCCATACGACCTTCAGCCTCGGGTGGAGAGAGCTGACTGCTGTGCTGCTCTCTGTCTCCCTCTCCCTCTCTCCCTCTCTCTCTCTACACACA